CATTGATTTAAGTTTTTATAAAGCTTAAATCGTGCCATTAAAGTTAGCAGTCACTTAACCATTTATTAATTTTTTTAAACAAATAAATTTTTTCCAAAAAATTATTTTTAAAAAATTGCATTTTTAATTTTATTAAGTTTTTACAAGACCATTTTTTAAATAATTTTTTTTGCCATAATTTATTTATTAAAGATAATTAAAAAAATTGTGAAGTGACAGCTAAATTTAATGTCATAAAAATTTTTAAAAATATAAAATGCAATTTTTTAAAAATAATTTTTTGGAAAAAATTTATTTGTTTAAAAAAATTAATAAATGGTTAAGTGACTGCTAACTTTAATGTCATGATTTAAGTTTTATAAAAACTTAAATCAATGAATAACTATCACTCACCTGATTTATGCGTAATAATCTCACTTCTTTTTTTAATTTTTATATTTTCCAAAATACAGCTAGTAGTTATATATTTATTTATTTATTAAAATACAATTGCAGCAAACATGAAAGTGGATGAAAGTGAAGACGACCTTGAATGCGCCGAAACGTTCTTGGCCCCGGTGTAGTTCACGGTGAAGGAGAAAGGGAATAAATGAGGATGAGTCAGACAGAGTCTGCTAAACAGTAGCGATAGAGATGAAGAGATACGATTCATACAGCACAAATGTCACTCACGAGCTTGCGGGGGTGAATATATGTTACTATTATTATTATTTTCACTAATAATAAATATATTCACGCGGCAAATCACACTAAATTACTCCTACGCAAGTATAAATTATGTGTAAGTATCCATTAAAAATTACATGAGACACAGAGGGTGCACCTCTAATTTTACAGAACAGAACTGAGAACTGAGGGCATCGGTCTTGAGTCGCAGATAGGAGTTTTGAGCCGCGAGGTGTGGCTCCTGGTGCGTCGGCGCGGCGTCGCTGACTCAGCGCAAGTTTTGTTTTCACTCACACTGACGGTTCTTTCATTCCATTTGCGGCATGTGATATTGATATGTAATACAAAATGTATGTAAAACTGGTGGTTGTAGTAGTATGATTGCAGGTAATGTCGAAGGGGGTTGTTTTCCTCCCACACCTTCCGCGTGTGTTTCCTGCACCTACGCCTACGCCGGCTCGCTTTCTTATTTGGAGAGTATATATTTATAGAGAATATCGATCCTCATCCTGGTGCCTTGTAAATTATTTTGAGTGTCATTGGGGAGGATTTAGATTTTATTTTTTTTTTAATAATTAAAAAAATTAAAAAAGAAATATGATAGTGAATTTAACATACATTTAACAATTTTTTTTATTTTTAAAACAATTAAATAATAATTTTGAAAATTAAAGAAGAAATATAATATCGAATTTAACATACATCTAACAATTTTTTTTATTTTTATAACAAATAATAACTAACAACCTAGCAGTCACTATGTGACTGCCATGACTTGTGAACTATAAATAAATAAAATTTTGCTTTATTAAATAATGATTTTTGTTAAATTACACTGTACTTTCTTAACTATTGAGATTTTTAAAGATATTAGCTCATCCCGGTGTTACACTCATCAAGAGCTTCCATTTGAGTACCCACATGCATTTTGATATATTTTTCATACATAAGGTAAAAGCCCCAATAGATGATCATGTACCAGTATATGATCACTCCATGTATTTGTATACCTATATTCATGAATATAGATATACAAATACATGGAGTGATCATCTATTGGGGCTTATACCTTACATATATATATAATATATAATATAAAAATATATAAAATATATGAAAAATTGATGTAGGTACTCAAATGAAAGGTCTTGATGAGTGTAATGTCAGAGTGAGCTCATATTTTTAAAAATGTTGATAGTTCACAAGATATTTATTAAAATGACCTGTACTTTCTTAACTATTGACGTTTTTGAAGATATAAGCTCATCCTGATGTTACACTCATCAAGAGCTTTCATTTGAGTACCCACTTGCATTTTGATATATTTTTCATATATACATATATATAATATATATAAATATATGAAAAAATGATGTGGGTACTCAAATGAAAGGTCTTGATGAGTGTAAAGTCAGGGTGAGCTAAAATCTTTAAAAATGTCAATAGTTCACAAGATATAACGTCATTTCTTAATTATGCTAGATAGAGAATTTTCAAATGCAGTCTAAATTAAATAAAATACTTATCATAATAAATTGACTATCGGTGAAAATGATATGAAACGTCAGGACCTTTGCAATGACACTAAATTTCACTAAAAAAACCGATTTTATCATATGACTATTCTCGACACAAAATTTTTCTTATTCTCTTAATAATATAGATTGTAAAAATTTTTAGCTAATAATTCAAAATGCAAAAAATTATAGCAGCGAATTTTTAAAAATATTTTTTTCATATTTATTGGCTATAAAAATTTGGAAAATTGTCAGATGTCTGCTAATTTCAATATTATGAAGAAATATTAGAGACTTTTTTCAATGAAGGAATTGTTATAAAAAAATTCCACGTTTGGATAATTGAAAAAACTCCAAGAAAAACATTTTTTTTAAATTTTAATTTCATTTGATGGATAAAATAAAAAATTGCTGATTTTAGTATCATAAAATTAATGTAAATAATTATTTTTTGAGAAAGTAATGATAAAATTTATGAAGAAAAATTAAAAATTTTTAAAGTTTGCAGATTATAAAGTTGTAAAAATTTATATAATAATGATAGTCATTTGTTTGATAAATTTAATCATTCAAATGTCAATATCACGGCTGCGCATTTAGCGCAATCGGATAAAACACCAAAATACATAAATTGAAATAATAACATCGGTCTATTTTAATAAAATTAAAGATAATATTCAAACAAAAATAAAATAAAATTGTTTAAATCTGAGATGCCCAATTATTTGGGGCACAGACAGCAGATTAAACGGAAGCAAAGCGATAAAAAAAAATGTGTTTGTCTGCCGATTGATTATCGGCTTATTGAATTCCCAGCAGTTTGGTCTGAGCTTCGGTAATTTTTTCAATCAATTTTTATACAATAAATATTTTTTTTAATTAAAAAAAATTAATTTCTAATTTATTTTCAGAGCAATGAATCAACTTTGTGATGGAAAAATAATCTGCGCAAAAGAAGAAATTTTCCCGATCCACCGGGCGATTTTATCAGCAGTGAGTCCTTACTTCAAAGCTTTGTTCACCAAAAGCTGGAAAGGAAACTCCGGAGAGACCCAGGAAGTGACAATAAATTGGATACCGGGTGAGTTGTTCTCACTGATTCTGGATTACGCCTATAAAGGGACTTGCAAGGTCACGGTTGAAAACGTCGAGCAACTCTTGCCTGTTGCGGACCAATTCGAAGTCCTAGGGGTGGTCCAGCTCTGCTGCCAATTTTTGCTCCAAGAACTGAGCCCCGAGAACTGCCTGGGGGTGTACAAGTACGCGAGAAGCTACTTCTGCCACGACCTTGAAGAGAAGGCTAGGAAGTATATCAGACATAACTTCAAGAAGATATGGCGTGAGAGTACCGAGTTCAAGGAACTTACTTGTGGAGAACTGTGTAAAATTCTCAGCGATGATGAGCTCAATGTCAAGAGCGAAGAGCTTGTTTTTGAAGCGATTAAAAGCTGGGTAGAAGTCGATGAAAGTAATCGAGCCGGATACCTGCCGGATCTTGTCGAGTGCATTCGGTTTGGGCTCATTAATTCCAAAATTATTTCCAGTAATATTTTGACATGGAAACCTATTCAGGATAACAAGGTTTTTTTTTTCATTTTTGATAATTTTAGCACATCTTCAATATTATTTAGGCAAAAATTTTATTTACATTTTTTTTTTAAATATTAAGATTAAAATTTTATTTTTTACTAGCAACTTTTCAGTCTCTATGTGACTGCCATGACTCGTGAACTATAAATAATTAAAGTTTTGCTTTATTAAATAATGACTTGTTAAATTGCACTGTACTTTCTTAAATATTGACGTTTTTAAAGATATAAGCTCATCTCGATGTTACACTCATCAACAGCTTTCATCTGAGTACCCACATGCATTTTAATATATTTTTCATATATACATATATAATAATAATAATAATAATAATAATAAATATATGAAAAATTGATGTGGGTCACAAGATACAAGGTCATTTCTTAATTATGTATCTAGAGATAGAGTATTTTCGAATGCAGCCTAAATACTTATCATAATAAATTGACTCTTGGTGAGAATAAAATTAAACTTCGAAAAGGCACAAATTCAAATCAAGACCTTTGCAATGACTCTAAATTTTACTAAAAAAAACCGATTTTATTGTATGACTATCCTGGAAACAAAATTTTTCTTCTTCTCTTAATAATATAGATAATTATTAAAATTATTGTAATTTTTATTTTGCAAAATTTTAATATTAATAACTAAATAGTTAAATAAGTATTTTTAATAAATTTTCATTTTTAATTAAAAAAAAAAAAACTATTAATACTAATACCAAAAATTATTTCTAGGAATGTCAAATGATAATAGAACCGTCAAACAGAACCAGTGAAAAATATTCTCGCCCGCGAATTCCTTATGAAATTCTGTTTGCGGTCGGAGGCTGGAGCGGAGGATCACCAACCAGTTTCATCGAAACCTACGATACTAGAGCAGACCGCTGGTTCTTGTCAGTAAACACTGATGTTGTTCCCCGAGCTTATCACGGTCTGTGCACTTTAAATAATTTAATTTACGTGATCGGAGGGTATGATGGTCAGGAGCATTTCAACACAGTTCGGTGTTATGATCCGGTGATTAAGGAATGGCAGGAAAAAGCTTGCATGTATCATGTTAGGTATTGATAAAATTAAAAATTTAATTGAAAAAAAAAAATTAATAATTATAACTAGCAACCTTGCAGTCACTATGGGACTGCCGTGACTTGTGAACTATAAATAAATAAAATTTTGCTTTGTTAAATAATGATTTTTGTTAAATTGCACTGTACTTTCTTAACTATTGACGTATTTAAAGATATAAGCTCATCCCGATGTTACACTCATCAAGAGCTTTCATTTGAGTACCCACACGCATTTTGATATATTTTTCATGTATACATATATATATGAGGTATATAAATGTATGAATAAATATATGAAAAATTGATGTGGGTACTCAAATGAAAGGTCTTGATGAGTGTAACATTAATATGAGCTTATATCTTTAAAAATGTCAATAGTTCACAAGATACAAGGTTATTTCTTAATTATGTATCTAGAGATAGAGCATTTTCGAATGCAGCCTAAATACTTATCTTAAGAAATTGACTATCGGTGAAAATAATATGAAACCTTGAAAAGGCACAAATTCAAGTCAAGACCTTTGCAATAACACTAAATTTCATTAAAAAAACCGATTTTATCATATGACTATCCTGAAAACAAAATTTTTCTTATTCTCTTAATAATATTGATAATAATAATAGGTGTTACGTAAGCGTGTGTACTCACGGAGGAAAAATTTACGCCCTTGGAGGATCAACCGGGCGTATCAGATTGTCCTCTGGTGAGCGATATGAACCGGAGCGCAACCAGTGGGAGATGATTCCGCCGATGCACAAGCAAAGGTCAGACGCATCAGCAGCAGCCTTGGAGAACAAGATCTATATAGTCGGCGGGTTCAACGGAGAAGACATCTACAGATCTGCAGAAGCTTTTGACGTCGAGACCAGCCAGTGGAGCTACATAAAGTCGATGATAAATCCCAGGACTGGTGTTTCCCTGGTGGCTTTCCGTGACAGTCTGTATGCTTTTGGTGGATACAGCGGACTCACTCGGCTCACTTCTGGTGAATATTTTATTTGATGCTCGAATTCTTGAAGCGTATACAGGTGTAGGGTACTTTAGGGGTAGAGGATTGCAGACGCTAAAAGTTGTATAAAAGCGTCTGAGTTCTGTATCCTGGCGAGTTTATACTTGATCATTTGGATTAATTATTCATTGGAGTGGTTTTGGGTTTCCCAGCGGAAAAGTTCAACCCGAATCAGCCGGATGAGTGGCAAGAAGTCACGCAGATGTTAAGGGCCAGGAGCAACTTCGCTACTGTTATTTTAGATGATATGATTTTTGTTATCGGGGGATATGATGGTAAATATTTTTGGTAATTTTTAATATGGAGCCAAATATTTTAATTATTAATTTGTTTTTCACTAAATTTAAAAAAAATTACATGATTAATGTATTAATTACATGATTAATTTGATAAAATGAAATAGTTGAATGATACTGAAATTAGCAGACACTTCACAATTATTTGATTTTATTTTTTTAGAAATAAACTAGGTCTAGAAAATTATTTTTAAAAAATTGCATTCATAATTTTTTAAAGTTTCTAAACATGGAATTTTTATTTAGTATCTTGTTTTTGTAAATTATTATTGCTATAATTTGATTGTTAGAAAAATTCTAAAAATTATTAGATGTCTCTCAATTATCATACTTAAGTTAAACGACGCTTTTGATTTTTTTTTATTTATTAAATTAGAACTAAAAAATATTTTTAAAAAATTGCACACTTGAAATTTTTAGAAATTATTTACAAGTGGGGTCCACCCTATTTTTGGCCATATCTAGGTGAAAAATTAACATTTTTCAATTTTTTTTTTTTATTCTGCTTGTTTTTACGGCGCATTTATGATAAAAACTGTCGTGAAAGAAAAAAATAAAGATTTCGATAGCTTTTTTCCCTTCAAAAGTTGGAAAAAATTTTGGCTCTCATGTTTTTGGATAAAATTTCCTTTTTGATGTACTTTTCAAAAAAAACAATATATCAATAAAATCAAATAGAAATTTCGTCCAAAAAAATGAAAATTAAAATAGTGGGCCCCACTTGTAAATAAATACCAAATTTTTTACAAATGAAATTTTTCTTTTATTTTCTTTTTTTAATAATTTTTTCAATTAAAAAAATTCTAAAAATTTTTAGATGTCTTTCAATTACAATCCTAAAGTTAGCCGACGTTTTTGATTTTTTTTTGATTTATTAAAATAGAATTTCAGTATTTTAATACTTGAAGATATTTTGTGTATGTTTATAATAAATAAAATAATTTTTTAATTAGGATACACAACAATTGCTGACGTCGAGTGTTACGACCCCGAAACAAACGAATGGTATGACGCTTCATCGATGAACCTGAACAGAAGTGCTCTAAGCGCTTGTGTCATTCCCGGATTATCGAATGCTAAAGATTACTCCTACCTCAGCAAAACCAAAAACTTTGGCCAAGGTAATTAAATAAAAAACAAAAAATAAATATAGATATTTTTAAATACAAATGAAATTATTAAAAAAAATTGTTCACATCATAAACTGATGAAAATTTTATCTACCAGGACAAGCTGGAGCGAAAAACCACGGAAAACCTGACCAAAGTGGAGAAGGTCCGCACATTGAACTCGGAAACAAAATCACTGGATCCGTTGCTGGCTCGCAATCGCACAGATACTAAAATACACAATGATCGTTTTTAATTTATTGAAAAATTTTTTTTTAATTATTTTACCAGGAATTATTAGAGCCACTTTGTTTTTTATTTTTTATTTATTTGTTAGAGTTTTTGACTTTGTCGGCCTGAAGAACTATCAAGAATCCAGACTGTTGTTTTATAAGAATATTTTTTAAAACTATTTTATTGTTTGACATAAATTTTGTCATTTTAAAATCCACTTTAAGATCTTACTTTACACTGATGAAGAATGTTTTGATTTTCCTTATTGGTAAATAGTGTAAATTTTAATTATTGAAATTGAAATAAAATATAAAGTCAGCTTTTTTTTAACAGCTTTTTATTTATTTTAATTTTATAAGGATTTTTTTTCATAAGGTACTTTGTAACACGTTGTATATACTGTATGACACTTTAATTACCTGGAAAAAAAATATATATATTTTTTTTTTTGGTAATTATTCTGTTTTAAATTTGAATTTATTTTTTAGTTTTATAGAATTTGATAACTTTGATTGATATTCTAAATTTTTGACTGTAGCAAAAATATTTTAAATAAAAAAATATTTCAATAAAAATTTTAAATAAAAACATTTTAATAAAAATTTTAAATAAAAATGTACTGATTCATTTTTTATAATTTAAATTGTTTGTAAAAAATTACTTACTTTTGTAAAAGATTCAATAGATAAATAAACAACATATCCACACGTAAAATATATCGGTCTTATTGAATTCACCATCATGAATCCTAACGATTTTTTATCCTCATTATTTAACAAGTACCAATGACAATTGTAAAAAGCACCGTGAAGCTTTTGAAACTTAGATAATATATATTTTATTATAAAATTACTAATTTTCAAGCTTGAAGAAAAACATTGAGATGTTTAGATAAAAAATTACCTCAAGAGTTACTTCATTGCAAGAAAAACAAACAATAAATAAATCCAACATTATCTCTGTAATATAGGAAGCACAAGAGAGAAATTCAAAAGAAAAAACTTTCATTTTCGACATATGGTATGCACTTGTGCAAAAAATAACAGCTCCCATACAATATTCAAACAATATTACCCAAGAGAATAAGCCATGAACTTTTCCAAATAGACTGTAATTAAATTTAAATTATTTTTTAGTCTTAAAAGAAAAATATTTCTTATTTAAATAATTTTTTTGCTCAGAAGAAATTAATTTTTCAAAATTAATTAGTTCAAAAATATCTCCTTAAGTGTCGAGTTTATTTTTATTACTCAAAATTTCCAAAACGGCTCGACTTTACAAATTTTTATTCAGAACTTTTTTATAGTGTATTGTTTTCTATAAAAAACATCTCTTAATAATTATTTGTTGTCGAGTAACAAATTTAAATTGGTAAAAAATTTTAAATGAAAAATATAAATTTTTTATGAATCGGCGCTTTTTAAAAAAAATATACATACATAGATTATTATTATTAAAAAAAAAGACGTCAAATGTTTTAATTTTTAAAATAACTAAAATATTATGCATATAATATATATAAAACATATAATAAATATGCCGCATATATTTACGCAAAAAAAAATATGTCAACATATATTTTTCACATCGATGCTGACATATATGCAGAGATACATGCTTACATATATGTAGACATATATGTAAGCATGCACTGAAAAAAAAATTTCTAAGTTTGAGAATTTTTTTACTCAAATCAAGAAAGTTAAATTTTTCAAAATTATTTTCTTGATTCAAGTAAAATTTTTTTCTGTGTATCTCTAGACACTTATATGCGCACATATATGTGAACATATATGTTCGCATATATGTGAACATATATCTACGCATATATGTGAACATATATGCGGACATATATTTAGCGCAAAAAAAATATATGTGAAAATATATATTTGCATATATTTTTCGCATATATATTTTTCCATGCGGGATATACCTTGTTATAGAATGATATGTATCCACCATTTCACCAATTAACTTTGAAGCATAAATATTTTTGTAGCAATCATCTGGATGATCCTTGTAAGAAAAGTGCCTTTGAAATTTCAATTTAAATATACTCAATTGCGCACAAATGCTGATCATTATCGCGAAGAAAAGAAGCACAAATCCGATGTTCGTAAAAGACAGTATAATTACGGCGACAAGTTGATTCAGTACAGTTGCCGAGTACTTTGCGGGGTGCGAGTAATTGTAAGGTACCCAGGCTCGATAAAGTAATTCGCGGTTCTTGATATTCCCAACGAAGCCCGAAGTGAAAAATATCATTCCGATAGAGTTTGCGTATATGAAGAATATTGTCAAGGATCTTTAAAAAATTTATAGAAAGGATAAATAGTTATAAGAAGAGCTAAAAAAAAGTTTTAAATGTAAATTTTTTAAAATTAAACTTCAAATAATAAAAAATTACCTAATTCTATTGCTAGAGCGCTTCCAAATAGTCATTTCTTCTTTTGTGTTGCTGTCATTGAGCAAGTACTTTTTTAAAGTATCAATTATTTTATTAAATTTGTCGCGGTAACGAAGAAAAATGACTAATTTTACACACGCGGAAAATATCGCGGTTATCATAAAAAAATTATTTATAAACTCAGTCACGTTATTTGTCACTAAAATTAAATCCAATAATTCAGTTATAAGAAAATTATAAGATAAAAATATTATTAAGATAGTGTAGAACGAGTACAGAGAGGATTTAACGGTTCCAGGATTCCATTCCGAGGGTTTCCAAACGCCCAAGAAGAAAAGAAGAGTTAAATTTTCTTGGAAAATTTCCATTTTATCTGAGTAAGTTTACTTCTACGGCTTATAAGTTCATATTAAGACAATAAAGGATCTTATAAGCCGCTTACCCTAGAAGTTATGTTTGCGGTAGACTAACACCGGTTAATTGCACAGTTTATTATTCATGTAGGGCAATTTTTGAAATTGCACCGATTATTTAAATTATTGTATTGCATTGTTCAAATAAGGAAAGACAGAATAAATTATAAGGATTGAATTATGGACGCGGTTATTATTGGTATTATCGAGAAGAGACACAAACGTACGAAATATAGAGGGTAGAATAATAAAATAAGCTGGTGGATCAGTCGGGCTTGGAGCATTGCAGTGCGAGGTTCGATTCAATCTACAGTTTATTGGAACTGGAAAATAAATAGTTAGTATTTACAATAGAAATCTACTATATTTTATCACAAGTTTTCTATACAATTGTATTATTCCTACTGAAGATAAGAAAATACCAAAAAGTTAACTGAGTTGTTTTGTTTGAGAAGATTTAAAAATTATAACACTGGTCTACAGTGGTTTTGTTGCCCTAGATATAAGATTGATTTTGGATATATTTATACTCACAATTCATGAAATTATGAATGATTTTGTAAGATTTGCTTTCGTTTTTTTTTAAATACTTATTTTTATTTTACATTACAAAAATCAGAAAACGAGAAACAAAATAACAGATATATTTATAATGTCAGTTTTATTTGGATAAAAATATGATATATCGAAGTAAATAGAGAGGAAAATTTGGAAAACATGTTATATTTCCATAAAACGCCTTTTAAGAGCTTTTCTTTTATAATTTTTCCGGGGACAATCTCTTTTTAAAGACCAGCAGTAATCTGCCATCATATGACAGTCCCATCGACCCTGATATCTTTCTTCCATTACTTTCAGATCCTGGTGGAACCGCTCTCCATGTTCCTCACTATAATTTCCTAAATTATCTAGAAATTTATCCAAATGATTGCGGTTATAGTGTAACTTGATACTCATATTTGCTCCTAGAGTCTGAAAGTTTGTCAGCATATTTTGTACAATTTCTCCATAATTTGGTGCTTTATGGTTACCTAGGAAATTTTCGACTACCAACACAAAACTTTCCCAAGCTTCACTTTCCGGAACAGTCATAACTTTAATAAAATCTGCGTCTTTTATCAATTGCCGTATTTGAGGACCATCAAATATTCCACCTTTCAACTTTTCCATACTAAGCTTCGGAAATTTTCGACAAATGTATTTAAAACAATCCCCTTCCTTGTCCAAAGCTTTAACGAATTGCTTTATCATTCCTAACTTAATATGTAATGGTGGAAGTATGATTTTGTCTCTGTTCACCAACGGTTCCCTTATTACATTGGCTTTACCGACAGTTAGAGAATTTCTTGCAGGCCAAACATCTTGTTCCCAATGAAGTTGCTTTGCTCTACTGTCCCACATACAAAGGAAGCAAGGGTATT